CTATACCTGTAGAAAATCCATGACCTGCAGAAGATCTAAGATGGGCTACTGTGGTTTACACACATTTAAAGCCACAACTGAGTGTTACGCCACAGAAAAACTAATCTACCTGTAGGTCTTGTTTGTTCTTTGAAGCGTGTGACAAATGAGGAGTCCTTTGTGAGAAAGACTACATATTTCTCACACCTTGTTAAGCACAAAGAAGCGTATCAGCAAATGCAGAGCAACTCAGCCTTTTTCAGCGAAGAATTTACCTCTCCTTTCCATTTGCAGCCATTAGTATGTTTAACTGTAGGATGTATGATTACTTTAATAAAGGTTACTTATATATCCCAGAGCTCCGAAAGAGTATTTCCAAAGAGAAACAAGGAGATGCAATGCGTAAGTACAACTGTCCCGAATTCTCCATTATACGGTGGTCTAAATTCATGATGTCTGCTTAGGAAAAAGTTTGTGTGCATCTTAAGGCAAATTATACTTAAGGCAAAATGAAATGTAAAAAGGAAAGACAGTGAAAGAAAGTAACATAATCCATTGATGCATCTTACTGTTGCCCCACCTGGAAAAGATCTTTGCAGAGCAAAGGGGTTTTCCAGCTTAGGTAAAAGAAAAGCAAAACACCAACAGAACAGTCATGACAGAACTATTTTAAAACGCTACCGAGAATTTTCTCTTATTAGATCCCATGATTGCTTATATAGGGTGGCTCTGGATGGAGAGAAGAAAATGTCCTCTTATAATGCTCAACACATAATTAATGGCCATAAAATTCAGCGGTAGGCAATCGCTTAGGTGGCTGCTACGGAGTGTTACCCCGTTTATGACGGTTATTTATCATTTAGACTGCATTATGGTTATCTAGAGTTTTACCAGCTTGGCTTCTAGAATTACCTCTCTTTTTCTCCCCCAAATAAGCGCTCCAAATACTTCGCCCTCGCCGGGTACTTTCCAGGCGGCTCAGCCGGGCAGCCGGCCGACGTTTCCCGAGCAGCCCGGGCCCGGGCCCGGGCCGGCCCCGATGGGCGTCCGGGCAGCGAAGCCCCGGGCCCGCGGGAGAGGCGCTGCTGCGCGGCGGGGGCGCCCCGGGGCCGTGCGAGGCGGGGGCCGCCGCGAGCAGGTCTCCGAGCGGCCCGCCCGCCCTTCCCCGCGCCCC